TAACAGCAGCTTTAGCGGGACGGCAGCTTTTACAGAACCGGCAGAATAAATGGAAGCACAGTAATCCTCTTTTGTTACTTAAATGTGGTAGATTTGGGGAAGGTTCTATGGGGTGAAGTTGTTCTATTTAAAAAAAATAGAGATGCTTTCAGTCATTCGGTTTCAAAATGAAGGCAGGTTGTGGAAAGCCTTGTTCCTGCTTTAAATAATAAAGCCATGCCCTGGAATGTGGGCAGGTTGTTGTTGTTTAGTTGTTAAGTCATGTCCGACTCTTTGTGACCCCATGGAGGAGAGCACGCCAGGCCCTCCTGTCTTCCACTGACTCCCAGAGTTGGGTCAAATTCATGTTGGTCGCTTCGATGACACTATCCATCCATCTCATCCTCTGTCATCCCCTTCTCCTCTTGCCTTCACTCTTTCCCAACATCAGGGTCTTTTCCAGGGAGTCTTCTCTTCTCATGAGATGGCCAAAGTACTGGAGCCTCAGCTTCAGGATCTGTCCTTCCAGTGAGCACTCAGGGTTGATTTCCTTCAAAATAGATATGTTTGTTCTCCTTGCAGTCCAGGGGTCTCTCAAGAGCTTCCTCCAGCACCACAATTCAAAAGCATCAATTCTTTGGTGGCCATCTATCTTTCTGGTCCAGCTCTCCCTTCCATACATCACTACTGGAAAAAACATAGCTTTGACTATGCAGACCTTTGTTGGCAAGGTGATGTCTCTGCTTTTTAAGATGCTGTCGAGGTTTGTCATCGCTTTCCTCTCAAGAAGCAGGCGTCTTTTAATTTCGTGGCTGCTGTCACCATCTGCAGTGATCATGGAGCCCAAGAAGGTGAAATCTGTCACTGCCTCCATATCTTCTCCTTCTATTTGCCAGGAAGTGATGGGACCAGTGGCCATGATCTTAGTTTTTTTGATGGAAGAATGCAAAATAAAAGTACACCTGAGATGTTCCGCAGAGTGTTTTGCGCTCAGGGCTTAGTAACATGAGCTGGTTCTATGTGCTTTGGCATGTAAACAAACAAACAACATTTTCCAATAGATTTCCTCCTCCCCCTCCTGGAGAAGAATGAGAATGTGCTTTGGCATGTAAACAAACAGACAACATTTTCCAATAGATTTCCTCCTCCCTAATCTGATCTTCAAGGAAAACATGCAAAATAACATTTGAGTACGCTTTGCACATGCTCAAAAGCACTCTCTTCGGATGAGTTCGTATGGTCCAAGGCTGGATCCGGTGATGGAAAGGAGTGGCTGGAGCCCATGACATGGTGGAGCCTGACAGTTTGAGAGGGCAGGACATCCGGTGGGGGCCAAAAGATGGCTTCGTAGTTGGGATGAGGGAAGGCAGTTAAAGAGGATTGGAGTGGGACCGGAGGGAACTGGGTTCAAGTCCCCTCGGAGCCATGAAACCGACTGCGTTGGGTGATGATTGACCGGTTGCTCTCTCTCAGAACTACCTCAGAGGGGCGTTGTGAGGAAAAAAAGTGGAAATGAAGAGCGCCACGAGGGAAAGCCCGCTGGAGGAAAGACGGCATAAATGTAGGAAATAAATCATTAAAAATAAAATTGCTTTTCTTTCTTGGCCCCCCTCGCCTTTCCCCATGCATCGATTTCTTTCCCTCTTCGGTCTCCAAGGTCTGTTCTTCTAAAGCTGTCTTTTCACTTAAGACTTTGCTACAGGCCTCATGAGGTGGCCAGGAAATGTCTCAAGTGCGTCTGAGAAAGATTTTTTTTAATAGGTTTAACGAGCAGATTAGAGGGTGACGTCAATGAACGCAGTGTGTGAGGCGCTCATAGATCTTCATGAACCTCTAAATCCTTTCACACACACCCCTCAATCTTCCTGGTCCTTTCGTGGGTCTTGCAGGACCCTACCAGGTTTCTGTGGGGTTTGGGCCCATTTCTGTATTATTTTTATGATCTCCTGGCCTAATCACTGCCAGAGGGGCAGGAGGTGCCAATTCAGAGGATGAATGGTTAGGCGAAAGACTCCAGGATTAGACCACTCCCCCCCCCCCGCGGGAGCTCCTTCTATGTTTTAAGAACTAGGCAGAAGGCAGAAAGAAACCAGGACTTCCAATACGATCTTGCCATTTCCCTGGGTTTATGCATGGGGCCAGAATATGCAAAATAAATAAATAAAAATTAGAAAAGCGACGGGAATTCTCCTAAAGTCTCCATCCTTCGCTTTCCCGATTCCTTCTCTCCTTAAGCTCTCTTTTTCTCTCTCCCTTTTTTCTCCATAGAGAGGCTACTGTACAGAATCGCTTGCGTGGCAAAGGCATCTTGGAACATAGGGGTCTTTTTTTTTAGGTCTTAGAAGGGGGATGGGTAACCTCTGGGGTCTCAGGACCCCCATTTTGGCCTCCAGACCGCTCGTTGCAGGCTGTGCCGGCCTCAGAAATGAATGGTTTTAGCCATTAAAAAAACAAAACAACAACAACAACAAAATAGAAGCACGAAGTGCCTATATGGACCCCATAGGTTCTGGGTGCTAAAACCTGCCACTCTTAGCGGCTTCTAAGAATAGAGATAGGGCTTTTGAAAGGTATGTATACCTAAGATCATATAGCTATGATGCACCACATCTCCGTGACGCTAAATCAAGACACTACAGGAGACACAAAGCACAACCGTAAAGTCAACAGCGCCATGAATCAACAAAAAGGGAGTCGGTGTCACTGGTTAAAGAATGGTGCCAGGCTGTGAACCGTCTGACCAGGAATGAGTGAAAGAGAGAAAACAGAGAGAGACAGACTTCCGTTTT